CTGCAATTTTACGAACGAGTTTCAAGGTTTAGACGAAAATCTGCATTTAGACGTAAAACTGCATTTAGACGTAAATCGTCTTTCCTCGTACAATCATCAGATTTCAGTTTACGTTTACGTCTTGATTTCAACTGCATACTGCCTTCTGCGAGTCTACAAACGAGTTTCAAAGTTCAGACGTAAATCTGCGTTTAGACGTAAATCTGCATTTAGACGTAAATCTGCGTTTAGACGTAAATCTGCTTTTTGCAGATTATTTTTTGAGCTGTACAATAGCAGCACATTGTCTTTATACTTTTGCTTAAACTGCGCTTAGACGCAAACTGTGTTTAGACGCAAACTGCGCTTAGACGCAATCTGCGCTTAGACGCAAACTGCGCTTAGACGCAATATGCATTTAGACGCAAACTGCGTTTAGACGCAAACTGTGTTTAGACGTAAACTGCACTTAATCATAAGTAATCTTAGAATCGGCTTTTGCATCAAAATAGTTTTTATCGAACGAACGCAGCTTTCGTTTTTAATCGCTGAAAGATTTCCGCTGCACTAATTCACCCCCCCCCCCCCTCTTAGTGCTCTCGATCCTAACAAGTGGCTCATTATGATTTTGAGTTATATCATTCAAAAGTAAAAGTAAATTTTCTAAATAGGGATCTAAATTTATATTAGTTTACTTAACCGATTCAAATGAAAATAAAAGAAATATAAAATTTGATATATAAATTTAGAAAATTCATTTATGATCTTAAACAAGCTTATATATAAAGTTTTTCGATATTATTACTTCCTTCATATTTAAAAAAATATAATTGATTTAGGAACAAGTTTATATATAAATAATATTTTACTTACCAGTAGTGATATTGGTTTATTGTACTAAGCCAAGAAATTTCTTATCAAGAATTTTAAGATGATTAATATAAATGAGGCAACTTATATTATTAGCATTGAGATATTTAGAAATAAATCTTAAGAATTACTAGTACTATTTAAAAAAAGATATATTAATCAAGTTTTAAAGAGATTTAGTATTTAGTTTTGTTAAGCAAATGACAAAAGAAAAAAATTTAAGTCAAAATAACTATTTTTAAAATAATTTGAAAGGGATTAGATAAAAAAAAATTCTTTATGTATATGCAGTTGGAAGTCTATTATGTGCTCAATCTTATGCTACATCAAATATCAATTTTATAGTTAAAATACTAGGTAGATATTAGAATTACCTAAGAATAAAAATATTAAAAAATTATAAAAAATAATAAGATATTTGAAAGAGATGAAGAATTATATGCTCTCATAAATGAAATTAGAACAACTTGAAATTATGATATTTTTTATGTGTTAATTTTATAAATTATCTTGATAATATGAAGTTCACTTTATAATTTATATCTATATCAGTTTGAGGGATAATTTATAAAGATAAAAATAATATAATATTATATTATTAATAATAGAAGCTGATTTTGTAATATACTTTAAGGCCACTAATCAAGTTTTGTGATTGTGAAACTTTATCTCAAGACTCAGTACGGTGAGACTCAATTACCAAATCGTTGAAAATACTTTATGATATATTAAAATAGTTTTTTCTGACAAGTACTATTACAACTATGTGCATTATGGTATAAAATATTTGATAATTAAAAAAAATTAAAAATAATTAATATCAATTAAGAACTTAAGTTTCATTGTATTGATCGTTAATTTATTTACTTAGAATTACAGTTTAAAGTGTTTAAAAGAACATGTGCTTATGATCGGGTATATGAGTAACCTATAAAATATATTATGATATATGTTTGAGTGAACATTACGATTGTTATTCTTATTTATATAATTAAAATTATTTATTTCTACTATCCTATTCATATTTATACATGTATATATTATGATTGAATGTGTTAATAAGATTTTCTTGATAAGATAAATTACATAGGTCATTTTAGACTACGTAGAAAGGATTAACAGCGCTATGCTATATAAAAGGAAGTATGACATTGATGATATATAACTATTATGACTTCATTGGTAGGCAGACTTAATATAGTATTATGTTTATTAAATTTATTAGCTTATTTTATAAAATTTGTATAAAAATATTTTTTTTAAGTTTTAGAATCTAATAAAATAAAAATATTCTTAAATAAATTTTTATTTATTTATTTTAAAATTTTAATTTATTTTATATCTTACCAAGGCCAAGTTAGAGAATGTTAGTTTATGTGACCCTATCTAATTAGGTAAGATATATTATTGATATGATTGGATTTTGATTACAATTATCATCGACCAATAAAAATGAAGTCCAATTATGGTAGAATTCTTTAGGAGATAACTTTGATTGAAGGACCTCGCCTAATTACTTATCTTAAACCTCCTAGACACTATATACACAATGTATGGATATACGAATATGCATATAAGAAGAGATGAGAATATGTGACATTATTTAGAGATTATAGATCTTCTCTCATTTTTTTCTTATTTATATGAACTAGTCAACTAGAGATTATAGATCTTTTTTTTATCTCCCATTTTTCCTAATCCAGTGGTCTTGTGAAGGATATAAAGAGAGGAAAAGATAAGTATAATTCTCCTTGTAGATCGTTATTACTATAGCTTTCGAATCCGATAATGATATGCCAATAGATTAGATAAAAACTTTCTGAATGACATCGAAATGTATGCATCATAAATTTAGATGTATTATTATTTGATTATTAGATTTTGACATTAAAGATTTTCATATAATAAAATCATAAGGATGGTTTTCATGCTTACACCTTCTTGAGACAACATGCATATTAAAGGATAGCATAGATCATAGATGTTGGGAAAATACATTGCTAATTATTTTTAAATTTTACTTTTTTTTTTCTCACATACTCTTAGCCTTTATACCATCGATTATCATCTCAAGATCCTATAACTTTTGTGTGGTTGTCACCCTCATCGTTATTCATTGGCTATGCCCTCATCCCGGTTTGTTGCTATATTCTCATTCTCATTCGTCAACTACATTCTCATCATTGACCGTTGATTATATCTTCATACTGTTCATTATGGTCAAGGCACCATTAAGGCCCTATCACTAGGATTATGACTCTTGAGACTTTAGTTATACCTTGATAATTAGCGATGTAGTCAGATTATAGAACATAGCTAATGGTCAGAGACAAAGGCGATCGCAATCGAACAAAAAGCATGATTAATATCATTTTTTAGAAAACAAGAGATGTTCCACGACAAATTAAAAAAAAAAGAAACTTAGATTTTTTAAAAAAATTATCAAAATATATACCATCTATAACTTATTCTTGTGGTTGCTAAAAGGAAAATAAAATGATCCATCATAACTTAGTGTGTCGTTCTAGATTAAACTCATTGATAGATGCGCAACGGCAGGAAACTGCAGCTTTTGAACTCTTGATGGTAAAACATGTTAAATGAGCAGTAACAGTATAATATTACCTGCTGCTTACGTGGAATCACTCTCGAGAATTTTCTTTAACCTCACACCGTTAGAAGAGAGAGACCACAACATTTAATTCTTTTCCAAATACTATTTTCTATTAGCAAAACGATATCCACTCGAACTTGTTAAAGCCCTCGAAATATATGTTTTTGGTGATAGAAGACAGGTGGATTCGAATTAGATTCGATGATGTTGGGGCATAATTCGGATCTCATCCTTCCTTCCACCCAACTACAATTCTCATATGCTTCTTTTAATTTTCATTATTACAATCACATTATAAATCAAACAATTATTACATCACAACAATTCCCAAACAAAATAACCCGCCCTTCAAATTTATAGACATCAAAGAAAAAACGGAAAATAGGAGAAACAAAAACTCACGTAATTAATACTAATAACTAATATCTCATCCTTTTTCCATATTTACTGAAAATTTTACGTTAATTTACGCTTAGAGAGTCCACTTCCAGATCTTAATCCGGAGCTTCACCTTGCAGTCGCCTCCCGGCGAAGCCGCCACTACCGCCTTCTTCCCCTTGGGCATGGCGACGCTGATCCCCTCGCACCGCACCTTGATTCCTATCTTCTTCGTCTTCAGGCCCCCGATCTTCACCCCCGCCTTCGTCTCCATGTCGATCTCCACCGGCATGCTGCTGCTCTTCCTCAGGTCTGATGCCGCCGCAGAGTCCAGCAGCTGGCCGGAGCTCGACGCCGCGGCGGAGAGCAGGGTGGAGCTCGCGGCGTCCTGGACGAAAGCGGCGAACGTGCCGTCTCCTACGTCGACCCCGCCGGAGAGGACAGAGACGGAGATGGGATCGTAGAGGTAGACGAGCTTTTTGTTGGGGTTGCGGGCGGTGACATTGATGTTGAGGCTGGAGGTCAGATGGCCGCCAGCGGAGACCTTGAGGGCGGCGAAGCGGAGGCTGGAGACGGAGAAGACCGGGCGTCGGGGGCTGTAGATGGCGTAGACGACCCCGCTGGCGATGGCGGCGAGGATGACGAGGACGGCGAGAATCATGATCAGTGAGAGGCAGCAAGAGCAGCAGAGGCCGCGGCGACTTCTGCGGCGGGACGGCTTGGCGGGCTGGGGGCGGTAGGCGAGGCGGGTGGCGCCGTTTATCTGGGACTTGGTGGGAGGAAAGGCGGGTGGAGGGGCTCCGCCAGGGATAGGCTTGGAAGAAGTGTAGACACGATCCGCCATTACCTCTCTCTCTGCGGTGTCTCCTCTTCTGCTCCAAGGATCTGAGTCAGGGTTCGTGATGGGATCAGAGAAGAGCAGCTATCTATCTATCTATCTATCGACAAGAGAACAGATACGGATGAAAACAACACTCCACCCTACGGAGATGGCGCCGACGTACCTAATTTTGGACCAACATTCGATATTTCTTATTTTATTTGGAGCCTGATGATCGTTTGATTATGATCAAACGAGTAGAATTTGAAGATTGGCAGATGCGGTTTGGGGAGATCGTTCCTCAAATTAGAGGCAGTGATTCTGATAGAAGACCTAATTTGGGTGAAATATTTGATGGTAATCCTAATTCATTTTATGTTACGATTAGCTCGAATTTTATAATCTAATCACGCAATTAGATGGTTCTTTTACAGTTAAAGCGTTAGTCATTTTAATTGGTAAAACCTTTGATAAATCATACAATAATTCTGCACTCGAATCTCGAATTCAAAGGATTCACGAGAGAGTTGTATTGCACTACGATATACATGTTCGGCTACTTATACTAAAATTAATTGCCAACTCAGTCCAACTCATCAGGCCACAACTTAATTGGACAATCAATCATTATGGGGTTTTCACTCCCACAGGGTAAACAATGTTGCCACTGCCAGAAACTTTGGCTCCGCCATTAGTTTCAGCTCTCTCTCTCTCTCTCTCTCTCTCTCCCCCCCATGTTGAAGCAAAGAAGGTGCAAGAGTGAGACGGTTTGGCGTTGGGCAATCGTTCTATCTGAAAAATACATGGCAACTACTACCTTGTGTTCGCCAAAGCAATGTGCATGATTGGTTTACTTGTATTGTAATCAGTGTGGGATCATGTACTTGGCTGTTTCTTTAGGCTGTCGGGCATCTTACCTCAGCAATGTGCATGTTAATCGCTTTTAAATTCTTCATTATCTTGTGTTAGGCCATTGGACTCGCTCTACTAACACAATTCAGACATGCAAAACATCAATAACATTTTAAAAGTGGCTACAATTTATTGCGAAACAAAACATGCCTTTCACGTGCCTACAATCATAAAAA